AAGGACCCGGGCATTTTTTTAACCTACACAAAGGTAATACATTTGCTAGTCATTTAATAAACCAACATTTCATTAAAAAAAACCCAGGCTGGATCAGACTAAAGGCATTGGATTCGATCCATGATTCGAACGTTCCCAAATTCCAACATTTATCCATAAATTAGACATAAAGAATTAGAGATTTTGGGGGGGAAATATATGTGCGAGAAACCCCCAGGGCGAACGCCTTTTTGTTTCTCCCACTTAAGAACCTGGCTTGGAATCCTTACGTAATCGACCACGCTTTGGGGGGTGGCCTAAATTACGGGGGTCCTTTCTTTTTTTGCTGATAGGTTCCTTATCTTTAACCATTACAGGGCAGAAAGGAGCAACAGGAACCCTCTCCACGTTGGGACTATCCCAGGGTATTACATTTGGCCCCGTGCGGGTAGAGGGCGAAGAATTCCCTTTCGCTTTTGGTGACCACTTTCCGAAAGTCACGACTCTCTTTCATCCATCTGACGGGGGAAACCGGTTTACAGCTCGCTCCTTTAATCCGGGGCAGGCAAGCACCGGAACGTTACCCCCAGCCTTCCTCGACCTTTGGTGCGGGGCTGGCGATGCCAACGTACCAAGCGTTACCCCCGACCCGCTTCCCGGTCCAGACGTGGCTCTTATCAAGCGAGCCGGCAGGTTATTTTCTCGGCTGCTGAGCTCTCTTGGAGGAAAGCCCTCCCCTCGGCGCCCGAGGAGGATCGAGAGCCTCCTGGCGCCCTCGTCCTGGATCCTGCGAAGTTGGCGGCCGGGCAGCAGGGGGTGTCTCCTCCGCCACCGCCGCCGCCGCCTCCTCCTCCTCCTCTGCTTTCTTCTCCTGCGCCCTTCGGGCCGAGCGGCGGAAAACAAAGGCGCGCAGGAGCGGAGGGAGGCCGGCCGGCCGATCCCCGCCTTGCCCTCCCTTCTCGCGCAGAAACACGCCGAGCGGTCGGCCGGTGCCTGCCGGAGGGCAGTCGGGCGAGGATGGCGAGGAGCCGGGTCCCGGGATCCCGCTTGGCTGCCGGGAAGCCGCCGGGGACCACGATCGCCGGGCTCGTCCTGGCGCTCTGGCTCCGCTGCTGCCCCGCGGGGGCTCAGGCGGCTTCCTCCGAAGATGCCGCCGAGGCGCCGGGGCTCAGCCTCCAGCCGCCCCACTTCAACCTGGCGGAGACGGCCAAGATTTGGGCGACCGCCACCTGCGGCCAGGACGAAAGCGGCAGAGCCCGCCTGGAGCTTTTCTGCAAGCTGGTGGGGGGACCCGCGGCTTTCCCCGTGGGGCAGGCCATCCAGGTGAGAGCGCCCTGACTGACCCTCGGGACGGGCAGGGGAGGAGATGATGAGCCTGGACTCGGGAGACACGGGCCCCAGAGGCGGTGGGTGGGTCTCTTGCCCAGGGGGAGATAGGGATGCAGATGGTCAGGTACTCGGCTTCTCCTTTATTTTCTTCAGCTAGGAAGGCTACAGTCATATTGCCCCGGTGTAATCCGCGTTAAACTCACTGAAAGGGCCGAGCTGCCCTCTCCAAACTGGGGTGGGCACCGACAGTTTACGCGATATATTAGTTAGCGCCTGTAATGGACCATAGCAGGTAGAGGAGATTGTCTCGCCTTGAAGTGCTGTATGTATTCAATAATAACGAGTTCTCCTCCTCTTGTCTCATTGTCCTTAATGGATGATGTTTTCATGTACGCGTAAACACCATCCATTAAGGACAATGAGACATGAAGAGGATGACTTCTCGTTGCAGAATATATGCATATGTGGCTCTTGTGAACCAGAAGCAGATATAGATGGAACAGGAAGGGACTGTTGTTGCCAACTTGAATTTCTGGGCAGCGTTAACAGAGATCTTAAGAGCCAGACGGAACATCTATAAGTGCAGCTTTCGCCTCAGATCTTCATTCTGGTGAAAGGTGGCATCAGTTAAACTCAATGTTCTGCACCCGTTTAAAGGCACAGAAACCACCTGGAGACGGGAGGTTGGCAGGATGGTCCACAGTTATTGTTGGATAACTTGGTTGCTTGGCCTGGTTGCTGAGCTAAAAGAGGAGCATTGCTTTGTACTGGGGAAATGCACTGCCTGCTAGTGAACTGGGGTTTTTTTTTTAATAAAAAGGACACCACCACCCCATTTCACAGGTGGCTTGGACACTAACTTTCAAAATGTTTTCCCACCAATCAGCTTTAAAATATGTCCCTTTGCTGTGCGAGGCTGTTGCAGCTCAGAATGAGTTGCGCAATTTGGCAAGGCTGCATCGCTGATGGGGAGGAAGGAAAATGGCACAGAAAGGTTCATTGTTTATTCTATAGCCCACACTATTGACAAGTTTAAATACTGAAGGGTATTCATCTAGATTAAATTACCCTTGTTTCCTTCCCTCTGCTGGTTTGCAATACATCTGAGAGTGTCTCCAACCACTCCAAGTGTCTAACAGATTAATTTTAGAATCCATTACCTCCACCTGTCCACCCTTCAGGTGTAGATATTTATATGTAAAGATGGATTATTGCACTTCATGGCTCACAGGGCCTCCTGAGGCACCATTTTGTGTCTGGCTGCAGTTGATGGACCTTCAGGTTCTAGTAAAACATGAAGTAGATTCTGCAGCCTGAAATCTGACCAAAGTGGTTGCCAGTGGTGATCCTTAGTAGAGAGCCAGCGTGTAGTAGAATGAACTAAACCATTGCATAGGAGAGATGCAAGGCCAGCCATTTAAGCAAGGGGAAACAAGTGTGTACTGGCACAAAGGTACTGTATAGACAGAGAATGAATAAATGGAGAACACCCCCTTGTCATAGCTAGTGCTTGGCCTTTTGTACAGACCACTCTGTACGCCAGTATGTTGTTGAAACCCAGGTGAGCCCTCCAATAAATGCAATCCATTTCTGTGCTTCCTCTGTGCTGTCAGAATGTTGGTCATTGGGCCAGTTGCCAGCTAATATAATGAAAAGCAGATGATAGAAGAATAGCTTTTTTTTTAATACCTAGAGGTTTTATGTTTCCCTTAGTGAAGTGGGGGAAATGGGTGGCATAGTTTACAGAAAAAATTCCCATCCTGTTCATTTTCTTCCGTGTGGAAGGGATGCAGTTAACTATTCTTGTCCTCAACCTCTTTGTTGATTGTGGATGATGGGGAGGTATACACATCTGGAGGACTCCCTGTTTGAAGAGGATGAGATGTGGTGTAGCAGTGGTGCAGCATGATCTTCAAAAACTGATGACAAGTCAGAGTGTTTATGTACAGACTAGGTTTTACAAGTACCACTTTTTAAATCACCATAATCTGTCATTTAACTTAGGTAGCTTTTTGCTCTGTTGCTGATCTTCTGGAGTGGAAGACATAAATCAAATAAAAGAATATGCTTGGTGTCTTAGGGGAACGGAAAAGCTAAAACTTCCAATTTGTTAAAGTTTTTATCTGTGCATATCATTCAACTATAGCTACTGCAAAAAAAAAATTCAGGGCTGGGTTAAAGAAAACACACGCCCCCAGGTGTTTTGGCAATAACTTGTAGAATCTTGTCTGTCTGGAAAGAGAAGACAAGTCCATTCTATGAAAAAAGATCCATTCTGAGGTGCATCATTAGCCCTTTATGTATCTTAGAAGGGTCTGTGTAAGTATTCTGAGGATTGGTTGCCAGGAGAATTATGAATCAACCTGTTTGTCATGTATGGATTTGCTCCCATCCAGGTGCAGTACATACTGAGGACTGGTACTACTTTTAGACTACTGCCTGATGAAAATAATTAAGACAATGGCTTTAGTATATTTGTGTATTGGAAGTGTACTATAGATTAGTGCTGGTGTTGTTAAGAGGGAGGAGAGAGATTTGTAGCTACAGAAACAATCATGTTCTAACATAAACACTGTAGTGGCATACCCAGTTCTCTTAGAAATAAGCCAACTTGAACTTAGTAGGACTTGCTTTTGAGTAGATATGGAAAAGATTGTCTTGTAAGAAGATTTTAAAATTCTTACAACAGTCATGGATTTAACCACCATACTAGTTCTCCTTGGCAGCTAGAGATTGCCTGCAGGCAAACACATGGAATTCTGTGTAAAGGAATGAGCAGGCTGAAGGAAGGTGGATGAGATGTCTGCTTTTTCTGTGCACCTAACACAGAAGCCAGGTGGGACATAAGAGGAGAGAAAATACTTTCATATGTATCCAGAGCTTAAATGCAGCTCCTTAGCTTTTCTGGGCTAGTAAAATTCTCCAAACCTGTAACTTTCTGAAGCTCATGTGTAAAACCATATTTTCATAAGGGACACCGAAGCAAAGCAGAGCATGTGGACGAAGTCAAAGGTACTATTTCTGTGATATTGTGTCCCTTATATATTTATGAAATTAAAATCATGTATTTTTACTTGTGAATTTATAAATTAAATAATTTAAAGGACACAGTATCACAGAAATAGTACCTTTGGCTTCATTCACATGCTCTGTTTTGCTTCTATATATGAGAATTAGGAGAATTATGGAGAACAGTTTTTCCTATTTAGTGGGTGAGAGGTCAGCTGTAATTTATGCCTAATCAAAGTTCCTGGAGGATTACTGATAGATCTGCCGTGGCACGAGATGACATGCTGGTCTGCTTACAATATTTGCGCAAATGTGAATTCTGCAACATTTCAAACAAAGGCTCATTGAGACACATAGCAGGAATATTTCTGTAGCTTACTGGTCATCGTTTTGGTTCAACAGAGTGCCAAATTATTTCAAAAGGATGGTGAATTCAACTCTGGAAAATGTGATAACAGGACAGAGTACATATTATCAGACTGTTCCTGCTCTTGAATAGAAATGAACTAAGTTAGAGAAGATAATTTTTGCAGTTAGACCTGCATACAAAAATGTATACTATGTATTAAAATACTTAAGTAGGAGGTTTAAACAGGTACACTGTATGTATAAATTCACTGTATGCATAAGAAAACTGAAGGGAGAAATAAGCATATTTTAATTAATCATAAAACAATAATAAAGAACAAGAGCAGTAGCTTAAAGTTTCTGGTTAATTTAAAATGCTTTTTAATGATGGTAGTCAAAATCTTGTTGTGTAAGTTATGCTTGAGGAAAGTTTATGATGTCGCTAGCAGAGGGAGATTCTTGATAATTGAAGACTTTAGTTCTCTGGGAGTTGCAAGAGATTATTAGTCTCTTGCGCAGTTAGACTCTCTTCAGGATGCATCTCAAAAAACTACCAATCCCCTATTCCTTTGTAGCTATCATGAAACTTAGCCATGCCCCCCACCCATTTCCTCCCTTTTTCATAGGCAGAAAATGGTTAATGGAACTTCCTTCCCTACCTGTGCTTAATTGAAAACTTCTGCGATGACTTTAATTTTGGGGCTGAAGCCCAGTGAATTCTGATTGGAGGAATTCCTGGTAAATTCTCAGGGCTGTAGTCCAAAATATCTGGAAATTCCATGCATAGCTACTGCTGTGTTTTTGGATTCATATAGGCTACCCACCCATGCCAGAAACTGGGACAGTGGGGTGGGGACATGACATGAGCCAAGTCACTTAATAATAATAATAATAATAATAATAATAAAAACAAACAAACAAACCTCACAGACTCAACAAAAAATAATTGGTGGCTGAACAAAAGGCAATGAATGTCCATGAAAAAAGACCAGGCTTACTCATTGTTACCTGTACATCCAGTAGTCGATGGAAAAATACATAGAATGTAACCATGCCAGCACAAATGGTGGGGTAAATCGCAGAAGGGTCACATCCTGAATTTGGTGGCATGTGTGTCTGTCTAGAACTATATAGAACTGTAAGGTCCTACTGGAGAGGGATGAGTGTAGTGAGTGATAAGGAAGTGCGCTCAACCAGGTGTAAATTCAACGTTTGACAAACCAACGACACATTGAAATGAAAGACAGCGGGACTGTAGGTCAGTGGTAGAGTACATGCTTTCCCTGTGGGATGTTTTAGCTTACATTTCTTGTCAGTTTAACAGCAATACATTAAAAAAGATTCAGGTAGCATCTCTTGATGGCAGATTTATTGTGTGTAGAAGTACATAAATTGCATGAACATGACATGCTTGGTGGTACAGAATTTTTTCCTGAACCAGTCTGGTCTTTACTCTACTTTTTTGCCAGATAATTCCTTTTCCTAGAGAATTTGTGCTTAATCATAAATATAGAAGGGCTGCAGCTTTCCCATCCTTGCTCTGAATGCTTCTTCAGTTATAAAGTTGTATGGTCCCCACTTCAATATGTGACAATTTCTGCGGTGGTGAGTCAGAACACTGAAGACTTAATTGAGGT